ATAGTATCTTAGTATCTTCTCTTGTTATAGTATCTTAGTATCTCCTATTGTTATAGTATCTTAGTATCTTCTCTTGTTATAGTATCTTAGTATGTTCTCGTTATAGTATGAACTGAACCACTAAACTATACCCCTTATAGTTTACTAGTAATCTACTTGAACTGTTATTGAAAAGACTCATTTTACTACTAAGTTATGCTTGTACTTTAAAAATGGAGTTTTGTTAAACTATAAAGTAAAATAACTTTAAAAGAGTTTTTGAAATGTTTTGATCACTTATAAAAGACATAAGCAATCTTTTTGAAAGATGTTTATAACAATTATTTACACAATTATCATTGTGTTCAGCTTGTATTCCCCCCTTAAAAGCATTTAAAACAGTTAAAAGATTCATTACGGGGTATGAACTCACCTGATGTGGGTGATTCAAACGAATATGCGCGTAAGGATGAGAAGTTCCACGAATGAACTCCCGAGACACAACGGGTCCTAAATGACATATAATGGCATATATGTGTATGTAATTAGTGTCTAAACAACTAATTAAGAAGGGTAACACCCTTATAGACTAGGACACTCTAAGATTTAAGGGATACAATCACATATGATTGCATAACTAGGGTGTATGGCCACCCTATTGAGTTTACGGTCCATGTGGCATGACTATAGGAGTTTACGGTCAAAGTGGTTCACGGTCCTATGTGTTTACGGTCATAGGGTTTACGGTCCTATGTGTTTACGGTCTTAGGTGTTTACGATCCAATGACCTTACGGTCATGGAGTTCACGGTCTAAGGAGATCCAACCGTAAACTCATCAAATCTTTGTACAATGATGTTTTCAAGGCTCTAATCAGGTGTTTCAACTAGATAACAAGCTAAGGAGGGAGTACTTACGATATAGAGGCTTGAAATGGTGATTAAGGTCCAAGAACACTAGTGTGTGTTCTTGGTGTTTCTTGAAGATCTAAGAAAAGATGATTTCCATGGATGAAATCATGAGATGATACTAGATTAAGAGATGTATCAATAAATCAAAGGAAGAACACTTACGATTTTGATGATCTAGGATGATGAACTTGATGATACTTGAGAGGATTTGGAAGTTCTTGAGTTTGAAAGGAAAGAAATGATCAAAATGATCATAAAATATATATATGAGGGAGTTTACGGTCACCCTGACCGTAAGCTCTAAAGTCTTGACCGTAAACTCCTTTTTGAGGAGGTTTACGGTTGCTAGGTAGTCTAGAACTTCTGCTGATACTTCCAAAAACTTATTCCTTTAGTGTACTGGGCTAAAACTCCTCAGAATGACCTTTAACAAGGCTAGAACTCATTAGAAATGAGTCTGACACTCAATTGAGTTGACTGACTGAGCTTTCAAAGCAAATATTTTTCGGGTTGTCACAGTGCCACACCGGGACACCTACTAAAACCGCCCCTGTGTATGCCAAATTACCACCGACATTGAAGGCCACCTAGGATATGCCATCCCCCAAGCCATTCCACAATGCCTTCTCAACTAAAATAAATAATGATGATAATTTAACACAAAAGCATAAGAAATACACATATATCCAGTTAGCAAAGGTTAAAACAACAAAAATAAACACCAAACTAATAGAAGGATGCACGAAAGAAAAATTACACATAATGGCTACACACTATTAATACTTTACCAGGAATAACAACAAAGTTTATAAGACAACTGTAAACAATAGTCACTAAGGAAAAACTCCAGCAACAAAAGCCATCGACTTACTATGGAAAAAATGCAAATCAAGACCATCTTTAATAGCTCAAAAGATCACCCAGTGGCAGAGTGGTCATAAAGCAGCCAAAAATTATATCATTTTAATAAGCTTCAACAGCAGCACCAAATAATGATGAGAGTTGCAGGGCATAAGCACACATATGTTTTACCAAATCCAGGTAGCAACAATAGTTAAGAGGAAACGAATTCCTTGTCAACAATAGGTAGAAAGGTTGTCATCATGTGGAACTCTTGTCAAGTAAAGAAGAAAACAAAAGGACAACTACAAAAGAAGGTATAGTTTTTCCTTATAAGAAAAAAGAATTCCCTGTTATGGTAAAGACTAGTACAATGACTTTATTGGTTGTTTGATGTTGGTTTTTAAGTTATATTCGTGATTATATTTTCAATTTATTTTGTTGGTTTTGATGATTTTATACTAAACATGAGTGGGAATGATATATTGAATTCTTGGGTACATAGCAACAAGTCCAACGCTCCCCAAATGATCAGACTCTTCATATTTTAGTGGAACATTACACAAAAACAAAACGCAATAAAACATTTTTCTTTATATTATACAAGTTATGTATTTGATTATTTGCATAATTTCTTGGTATCTTCTACCGAAACCATACCTTATACCCATTGATCACCTTATTACCTCCATCCCTTCGACCATCCATGTCTGATTTTTACCCAATTGTCAACTGAAACCGGAGAGAATTATCTCACAGGGAGAAGTAGCTTTCTCAATGCACTCCAATCTGTAAATAAGGCAAGTTTTTTGGAGGGGAAGATAGAAAAACCCTATATCACTTCTGCGGATTTTCAATATTGGGTTCAATGCAATGGGGCAGTACAATCGTGGCTTTTCAATGCAATTTGTAAAGTTTGGAATGACTTTGAGTTTGGGTAACGATTTACTCAGCGGATTACACCTCGAGTTTACGTGCTCCTACAACAAGAAAGGTCGGCAATTTCTACCAGTTCCTACTTGTGGGATTGATTAAGAATGCAAGATATGTCTGAAGAAGATAATGTATTTAATTTCTCGATGGGTTCTCAATTCGATCTCAAATCTTGAGCATCGAAGTCTAATCAAACTTCGCATTTATGTTGGGAGTGATTGCATCAACTTACAACCATTAAGAGCATTGGGTGTGGGCAACAAGATGCAACACCAAGTTGTGCCACCTCACATGCCACATAAGCAAATGGTGTTATAATATCAAGTGGGGAAATGGGCAACAAAATGCAACACCAACTTTTTGAGAATAAATATGTTTTATTTTTGATTTTTTTCGAATTTGTTTTTTTTCCCTTTTTCGTTTTTTTTCCCTTTTACGTTTTTTTAATCACTAAAATGACTATGTTTTTATAAAACATAATATTTTAAAAACAAAAAAACATAATATTTAAAATCTAAAGTTACGATTACAATTAAAAAAAACATAATTTTAAACCTAAAGTCATAACTAAAATACCATTCAAATTACTAATAAAAATCCTAATTAACCCAAATATTGCTTCCTAATTTGTTCCTTCATCGCTTGTAGCACCGCTAGATTAGCAGGCGCCAAACCCTCCTCGCTCGTCCGAAGAATTGACAACTGATGTGTCATTAGTTGCCTCTCTTTTGGCGTCTGGTTCTCCCGTGCCTGCCTTTCTAGGAACTCCAAATGACGACGTTTCAAGTCATTTTTTTTCTTTTATTAATAAATTGTGCTCATCGAATTTCGCTCTCATTTCCGCCGCATCTTTTGCTTTCGCCTCAACCTCCTCCGCATGCCTTGCAGCGCGCCTTGCTTTGTCGCGTCCAGGCGGTCGTCGTGGTGGGGATATCTCCTCGATATCATCTGTGATCTCATCGGTTTCGGCGTTTAGGTCGATGTGAGTCCGTGTGTCCGACACGTCGATCGAGCTCGAATTGCGAGACCTTTTGGATTGAACCTCCGACGATGTAGGCGTTTTATTCCACCTTGGATCTGCTCGCAACAACTCTCATGATTTTTCAAAGTCGAAAACATGTCCCATTTCGACCCAATATTGTTCCTTTGCAGATTTGAACAAATCGAAGTCGTTGGTTCCGTTTTGCTGTTGCGCCTCAAGCCGGTTGTAAATACCGTTGAGTTTGCTGCACCGCTTAGTTATTGGACCCCATTTGCTGCTCAACATGTCATTGTTGCGATACGGTTTTTTCTTCAAAATAGCGTAAAACTTGTCGCGAACCGCCCCCCAATAAGCTCCTTTTTTCATTCCATTTCCGCGGAGTTCGTCTTTTGAAGTAATACACCAAGCCGTCGTCAAAACATATTCCTCCTCCGGTGTCCACCATTGTGGAACGTCTGCATTTTCTATTTCAACCGCTATCGATTTCCCTTTTGATTTTCCTTTCCCTTTCCCTCTCCTACTACCTCCCGCTTCCACTTCAACCGATGGTTGTGTTGTAGGTGGTGGTTGGGTGGTTGTTTGTTGCATCGAAGCAAAAGTAGGGAAAATATTTTGTTGTAAATTTTGTTGAAGGTAAGGTGAGTTGGGAAATTATATAGTGGTGGTGAAGCGGGATTGAAAGCGGCGCCTTGGTTGTGTGTTTGGGTTTGATGATGGAGGGGGGTGTTTGGGTTTTGCTCCATTTTTTAAAAATTTAAAGAAAGTATGTGTATAAGATATAGAGAGAATGAGGGAAATGTTTAAAAAAATGGGTTAAAAATAGTATTTATAAAGATAAAAAAGTAAAATTTTTTATTTAAGTTTTGACCGTTTGCAAACGGTCGAGTAATTAAACGTTCAAATTTTCACCCGTTTCAATCTGTGGTAACGACCACGAGTGAAGCCATAACAAGAATCAACGAGGAGGGGGGGTGTTCCCCCCGTTACGACGGTGTTGCAAACGGACACGTAAGCCCATAACCAGTAATTTTGGACCCATACCGCATCGTCTAATGGTAAAGTGGTAAACGAAGACTAGTCTTTGTTTCTTTCCTTGTCTTTATGGATAATAAATATAGATTAGAAACTTTGTAAAGCTCTTCGAAACTTAGCACACTTGTTTGTCTTTTTTGATAAATGCTCTCTAGAAGAATATTCTTATCTGCCTCCATTAGTTATGGAAATTATTAAAAATTTCTTCTTATTCTTGTTTTACCACTTCACAATTCTTGAAGCAAACAACAGGATTAATCGTATTCAAGCTCCCTTTATATTGCATATGAAATCATATCTGATTATTCATGAATTCCAACCAAAATGGTCATTCTTCATATCATCTTCACCTTTCTAGCTACAACTTTACTACTAGTTCTCATAACCTTTTTAGCTCTCATACTAAAAATCTTCATCGGAAAATCAATAAAAGACCCAAAATACACCCCAGTTGTTGGCACTGTTTTTGGTCAACTCTTCTACTTCAATAAACTTCATGACTATTTTACCGATAATGCCCTCAAACACCCTACTTTCAGGCTTCTTGCCCCTGATCAAAGTGAACTATACACTACTGATGTTCGAAATATAGAACACATACTTAGAACAAATTTTGAAAACTACTCAAAAGGCGAGTATAACAAGGATATAGTAACTGACCTATTTGGCAATGGGATTTTTGCAGTTGATGGCGTGAAGTGGAAACAACAGAGAAAGCTTGCAAGTTTTGCGTTCTCAACAAGAGTGTTAAGGGACTTCAGTTGTACAGTTTTCAGAAAAAATGCAGCAAATTTGGTTAGAGTCGTTTCAGAGTTTGCTAAGGCCAATAAAGTTTTTGATGTACAAGTAAGCCTCTGTTTTTCTTCCTTTAATCAACGTAAAAAGACTTTTATGAATACATGTAACCCTCTATTGATGCATGTGGGATGAATTGTTATAAGATCATTCAAGTGTTTTGTCTTAAATTTTTCAGAACTTACTTATGCAATGCACCTTGGATTCAATATTCAAAGTTGGGTTTGGAGTTGATTTAAATTGCCTTGAAGGATGTAGCAAAGAAGGGGGTGCATTTATTAAGGCCTTTGATGATTCTAATAAATTAATATACTGGCGATATGTAGATCCCTTTTGGAAGCTCAAAAGATTTCTTAATATTGGTTGTGAAGCTAATCTTCGGAAAAACATCAAATTGATCAATAATTTTGTTCTCAATTTGATAAGCAAGAAAAGAGAGCAACTAGAAATGAATCAACACTGTGTAAGTTTTATGCTATCTCTATTAATTGTATAAGTTGTAACTATAACAAAGACAACGACTCATAAAAGATCAAATATAATGATTTCATTACTATATAAAGTAGTTAAGTCGAATAAAATAGTGAAAGCACGTTGTGTTTTTTCGATTAGAATATCATTGACTTTTGTGGTAAATTATTTTTTCAAGAATGAGGAGAAGGAGGATATGCTTTCAAGATTTCTGATCGAGAACAAGAAGGACCCGAGAATGAATGATGAATATCTAATGGATATAATCCTCAATTTTCTGATTGCTGGAAAAGATACTAGTGCAAACACACTTTCTTGGTTCTTCTACATGCTTTGCAAAAATCCACTTGTGCAAGAAAAAGTTGTTCTAGAAATACAAAAGCTTATTGGAAATCAAGAAAACGGGTCTACAATCGAAGATTTTGTTGATAAAATAACTGATGAAGTACTCGAAAAGATGCATTATCTTCATGCAGCTTTGAGTGAAATCTTGAGATTATACCCTGCAGTGCCTCTGGTAATTATAAAGATCTTTTAAGAGATCGACTTTTGAACCATTTTAATTGACTTGCTAACAAATCAAACGTAATCTAAAAATGGTCAAAGTTTCCTATAATTTGCAAGAATTAGTGATTTTGGACAAATACTACATCATACTTTTGCAATTTTTGTGCAACGTTCATGGCTTATTCTACAACCACACTTTATTCAAGACCCATAAATTTTCTATGGCGGGGACAAATAAACCATTCTGTTATTTTTTTTAAAGTAAATTACATTTTGGTCCTTGAGCTATAGTTTGACTTTTGCAATTTTGGTTCTTAAAACATTTTTTTATCCCTTTTGGACAAAATTTGCAAAAATCAGATATAACGAGGACAAAAAGAATATCTTTACTTGGATCAGGAATCAAAAATTGTTGCATGAACCTCAAATAATGACCCAAGTTCTAAAAAAACGTTCTGGGACAATAATTGCAAAAATCGACCATAATATACTCTATAAAATTAAAAGATTTAAATATACGTAAATAATGTATACTCTATCTTGTTGTAAGGATGGGAGAGTTGCAGACATGGATGACAATCTCCCTGATGGCTTCAAGTTAAAAAAAGGGGACGGTGTGTATTACATGTCATATGCGATGGGAAGAATGGGTTACATATGGGGAGATGATGCTGAGGATTTCAAACCCGAAAGATGGATAAATGATAATGGAGTTTTCCAACCAGAATCTCCTTTCAAATTCGTAGCATTTCATGTAAGTAAATGTCATTCACTATATCTATGGATCGTCTTTTGACTTTGAACTCAAACTTATTGCAACCAAGATAGTCTTTGGTTCATGTTTTGTCTATTGTTATATTTACCTAATATAATATAGGAAAACATCATGAAAAAAGATCACACTTTAGTAACACCAAATCTTATTTTTTTGCATTGATTTTGATGCAAAATTGCTTCCAGACAATACCAAAAATAGCGTTGAGAATAAGAAATATCAAATATCATGTTAAAGAATTTATCAAGTAATTTTTATGTTTTTTGTTGTTTATTATTTGTTTATAATAATGTATGTGTAATTTTTGTTATTTGGGCATGTTATATAATAAATTACATTGATATTATTTTATTATGTAATTTAATGTTTTAAACTTATTTAAACATATATAATGTTTTTTAATTTTAATGTTTCATACTTATTTAAATTAAATGGTTGTTCAAATACTATAAGCATTAATTATATATAAATAATTTATTTTGATTATAATTGTCTAATAACATACTATTTAAAATTATTGGAATATTGTATTTTAAAATTTTAAAAGTTCGAAAAAAGGATACACGTAGAATAATTTTTAGTGCTAAAATTGTATAATGACTAATGAGCTAAAGAATAATTACTTTTGCAGCAAATATTCCAATATTTTATGATTCTAACCGAATTTTGTTACATAAACTAGTTTATTTTTTGAGTTTTTTTAGAGCGTTTGGTGGGACCACAAAAAATGTTTATGATAAACTATTTTTAATAGCTAATTTAATAGTTTATAAACTAACTTATAAGCTAATTTTTTGATAAACTATTTTTAATAGCTTATTGATAATATAGTTTATATGCTAAAACTAATTTTTTTTAGCTAACACGCTAGACGTAATTGGTTAAAATGACGTTGGGATTTAGTTTGAAAATTATATTTTCAAAACATAATTCACATAGTTTAAAAGATAATAATAATAATAATTACATTTTGGGTCTAAAAACCAATAACTTGATAAAGTAGTATTTGTAACTTGACAAAGTTATAAATAAAACATTATAATACTTTTATATTATCTATTTTCGATTTTCGATTTCGATGTTAGTGTTTGAATATAAGTGACATTTGTATTTATTTTCAAAGGCACCGGATTATGTATTAAATCCGGTTATTTGCTAGCCGGGACCATATATTTAATCGAGGTTAACATATAAATTACTAAATATTATATTTTCATTCCATTTCCCGTATAATAAAATCATAGCAAAATCCAGAAAGTATGGCAATTGCTGAATAAGTTTTCACATGTTTCTTTTTTTTTTTTTTTTTTTTTTAATTGATTACTATGTATGTTATGGACTCTAACATGCCAACTTTGCAGGCTGGTCCAAGGATCTGTTTGGGGAAGGATTTTGCATATCGTCAGATGAAGATAATTTCGATTGCTGTTCTTCGTTTCTTTATGTTCAAATTAGCCGACGAATCAAGAAAAGTAACTTATAGAACCATGTTCACACTTCACATTGACGAAGGTCTTCATCTTTTTGCGGTTCCAAGAACATCATTATAAGAATGATCATAAACATAAGTCTTGTTAGTATATATGAATTCCTTTTTGATATGTAACACCCTAGTTTTAGAAATATAATTTTCTAACTATTAATAAATGTTTTCTAGAATTTCCTTTGATTCTAAACTAATTATAAATACTCAACTATTTATGGTGCAAGTATCCAAATAATGATTTGGGGAGGGGATGAAAATAAAAAGAAAATTTATCGGGTGGCTTGGCAAGATGTCTTGAGTCCTAAAAATCTTTGTGGCTTAGGGGTTGGAAGTCTTAAATGGTGCAACTTAGCCTTACTTACAAAGTGGTTGTCGAGATTAAAAGTAGAAGACAAACCTTTATGGAAGAACGAAATTGTTGCCTTTCATAATCTCACTATTTATGACGTAAACCCTTTGGCCAAGAAAGGTTTACCATGAGTTTCTTATCAATTCCAAAAGTAAGGGAAGATCTAATGGATTTGGGTATGGACTTTCAAAGTTTGTGTTGTAGAAAGTGTTAGGTATAGAAGAAAACGACAAACAAAAACAGATCTGAGAAATATGAGAGATCAGAAACGAAATCAAAGCACACATAACACAGGGATTTAAGTGGTTCACACTATCTTGCGATAGGCTACGTCTACTGTTGAACCAGAGAGAGAGATTTTATTCCACACACGTTTTTCTGCTACAATATTACGAATACGGTCGTTCATAAATATATAAACGAGAAAATCTGACCTAAACCTAAAAGGGCAAGCCCGACAAAAAACCAGACACTAAAAAAAAGCCCAAAAAAGTTTCAGTCTTTAAAATTCCAGATCTGATGATAAGTCTCTAGATCTAACAATCTCCCACTTGGAGGCTTGATCAACATTCAACTGCCAACCAAGTCTGTATTCTATGTAACACTTCTCTCTCTCTCTCTCTCTATGTAACATCCCAAATTTCGAGTCCAAAAATTTCATTTTAATTAATTGATTATAAAAGCATTCATAAGAAAACCACATAAATATATCATGTCTGAAAACCCAAGTCATAAGATAGCATCATGTCAGAGTACAATCCCAGAATATCTCAAGTGCAGAAAATCAATGTGAATGTGTATGATGTGCCGCTACCGCACCAGCTCCTTCCCCTTCGCTGAGGAGGTACCTGAAACCAAAACTGTAAACTGTAAGCACGAAGCTTAGTGAGTTCCCACATCGTACCACATACCATACAATCACATAGCATACATACTGTCGGGCAATTCTGGGGTGCCCGACCTACCCGGTACGGCCATTCTGGGGTGCCGACCTACCCGGTACGGCCATTCTGGGGTGCCGACCTACCCGTGTCAAGCCATTCTGTGGTGCTGACCTACCCGTCGGACCTAACAACCGACCCTCGGGGACTATTCCACCCCCCTACTGCTACTATCACATATATCATAACATAAACATACTATCAGACATATCTGGGGTGTCCGAACTACCCTTCGGTCCTAACAACCGAACTTGGGGACTATTCCCCTCCTACTACCACTATCACATATAACATATCATGCCAGCATATAAACATATCATCACATACTGTCAGACATATCTGGGGTGTCTGACCTACCCTTCGGTCCTAACAACCGAACTCTACTACTATCACATATAACATATCATGCTAGCATATAACACATCAGGTAGTAGCAAAACTAGATGATATCACAAAGACAATCATCTAACATACAACTCCTACTGGTGGGCCGGCATTGTGGCCGTAGACCCACCGCTACTGGAAGGTAACTCACCTCGTACGAGTAGCTGCCAATAATCTGTGTGGGAAACCTCCGTCCGCTGCTGCTCCGGAAATCCTCCGGCTACAATCCCCACAAACACACAGTTAGAACTGATATCTACTCTTAGGGTAAAATGACCATTTTACCCCCAACCAAGTTCAAGTCAAAATTCAACTTCTAGTTGACCGGACTCGCCGAGTTGGGCCGTCAACTCGTCGAGTCCCTTCCCTTTACTCGTCCTTATCCACGACTCTACTCGTCGAGTTTAGCGATGACTCGACGAGTTCCTCTCTGATATGAACATCGATTGATCCTTCATCTGACTCGTCGAGTCTGATGAACACTCGTCAAGTTCATCTTCAACAGATGAACAAGTCCTGACTTCGACTCGCCGAGTTGTATGAACAACTCGTCGAGTTCATCTTCATCCATAAGAAGATTGCCTTGGACTCGTCGAGTCTGTTCTAGCACTCGTCGAGTCTCATGAACTCCAGGTCTAAAATTAAGTCCAATGCGTTGGGTCACTCTTTCTGTCTTGTTACAACCCCTCTAATACCCCACTGAGTCCTTTTGACCCTCAACAGATATGGGACTCAAAGTGTAACACTAGTCAAAAGTAGGTCAATAACAATCACATGTGATTATACGAATCATGTAATGTGATTTTGTCAAAACAAGTAATGTAGTAAACTTACTATGTATTTCATGATAATTCTAATATAAATATGAACTTTCATACATACTTTATAGTATAAATCAAAGTATACGTCCATACGATTCCAAAAATATACAAAAAGTCTAAATCTGGCTTCGCGTGAAGAAGTTATGATAAACCGAACACTATAAAATCTTTATAACAAGAGGAATTTAAAATAGGCTTAGAATTAGCTATTATAATCTATTAGAGAGTTGTAGTACTCAGAATTACCTAAGCGTGGATATAAAGAACGTCAAAGACGGAGTTCGTATGCAAAAGTTATGGCCTTCCGAAGATGTCGCTGTCAGAAACCCTAATTTGACTGAACTCACGACGTGAGCATAAAAACTCACGACGTGAGGAGTCAAACCGCCATATTTCGGATCTAGAAGGTGTGACGAGGCTGCGAGGGGATAAGATCCAAACTCACGACGTGAACAAGGAGTTTTTCACATCGTGAGGGCTCATTTTGCCACCTTCGGAAGCTAGAAGACGGATGGCAAGTCTACGAAGAGATAAGATCCAAACTCACGACGTGAACAATGAGTTTTTCACGTCGTGAGGGCCAAAAATCTTACTATAAATAGCAAGATCGACCCCAGCCATCCTTACACCATTTCTACTTTCTATATCTCTCATTTGCTGAAGCCGTTTCGCTTCTCGAGCCCCGACGACCTCGTACGCTGACCGTTTCTGCTTAGATTACATAAAATCACGCTATTAAGGTGAGTTTCACGGCCCCACTTTCTAATATTTTCGGGGGAAAACGCATGCTAAATATTGTATATACGTTATTATTATGTCTATATGATAGTATATTAGTATCAACGTAGATAGTTATAATAACGGGGATATAGTTATTTCGTATCTGAAAATATACAACGATCGTAAAGTTGTTAGCATGTTATTGTTATAGTAGTATACTAATGTAGATCTTGAGTTATACTTAGGATTCTATATATGTGTTGTGTGCGATATAGTTCCAGAGTTATACTCGGAAGTTCTATATGTTAATTGATAAGTATGTTATTATTGTTGGTTTTATGTCAAGATAAAACCAGGTATGTTATATGTTGTTGTTATTGGTTTTATGTCAAGATAAAACCAGGTATGTTATATGTTGTTGTTATTGGTTTTATGTCAAGATAAAACCTGGTTTAAATTCTAATTATAGCTGTTGTACTACACAAGGTGTAATCCTTGTACTACCACAAGGTGTGATCCTTGTACTACCGCAATGTGTGATCCTTGTAATAATAATAAGAGGTATAAAACTAAGTCATACAGTCGCAGCTACAGACTCATGGTAGCACAACTTTAGAAGCATTATACTTTGTCGATATACAAGTATGAATGTTAAGTATAAGTTCCCCAAAGACTTATACTCTAAGTATAAGAATCTAGTAGGTATATTACTTGTATATTAAGTAGACCACTACACCTATCCTACTTACTCGTATAGAATTGAAATAGATTTATACGTAGCGGTTTTACTCGTATAGAATTGAAATAAGATTTATACGTAGCAACTTAGTTTGTATGGAATTACAAACATTTATATTTATAATATATGAGACTTATAGGTATATACTTATTTGGTAAGTAAACCATTATACCTAGGATATATATACTAAATTTTGGAGAGTCAAAATGATACTTTCAAAACTATACTTTTGAACATGGAAAATGTATTATTTTATGGAGTCAAAACCTGTGAACTCACCAACTTTATGTTGACGTATTTTTAAATGCATGTGTTTTCAGTAAGTTGATAACTATGATAAGAGAAATGACGTTACACCGCCCGGTGTTTCCGCCGACGGCTGGGGTGTGACATAAAGCCTTGGACTCGTCGAGTCCCAAGAACGGACTCGCCGAGTTGGTCAAGTCCACACTCTAAATCCTCGATTTCTGATGTACAATTCTTGACCAAAAGATAGATCTAGGCTCCTACAATCGTCCTAGCACGTAAAGTTACAAACTTTACGTGCATGCATGGGACTTTGAGTCCAAAAGGTCCTAAAACAAGCTCTTGGGTTGCATGGAGTCTTTCTTAGGTGTAAAAGCACCCACTTTCTGCCTTGTGACCCCTCAAAGCACCTAGATCCGAAGCCTTGTCCCCAACCATGCTTGCATTCATGGTTGGCTACCTAAAATGGCTTATAAAAGCCCTAAATCTCCACAAAATGGGATCTAGCAAATGAACAAGCAATTTAGCAACTTTATACTTTCTGAGGACTGAAGATGAAGCACACACTCGAACCCTTCTGGTCTCCTCTTGTTTCCTCAAGCCTTTCTCCTTCCTTCTTAAGACTATCAACACCAAAATCCACCAAAATGGCTTAGATTACTTCAACAACGGCTAGGGTTTTCTATAGAGGGTGTTTGGGAGCATAAAGGGGCGATGGAGGCTGTATAAGGTTGTTTAAATAGGGTGCAAACCCTCCGATTAGGGTTTAGTCCATACAGAGCCTACTCGTCGAGTCCGGGACCCGACTCGACGAGTCCATCACTTAAGTCTCGCGTCTCATCCCGCTTCTACTCGGCGAGTTGG